TTGGAGTTTTACCAAGGATGCTGTTACTTGGGGACTGGCTGGGCATTGGTTTGCTGGTGATGAGCCAATGGGGTTTTTTTTATATCACTTGCTTTCCTTGGTTTTGTTTCCTTCTTTTACTTACTAAACTGCCTTTATCTCAACCCACAGGTTTTCTCACTTTTACCCTACCACCTCTCCCCCACATCGCACTGCGGGGGGAGTGAGCAACTGTGAGGGGCTGAGCTGCTCACTGAATTTAAATAAATTCAATTAAAAACACAGGAATACTCCACCAGCTTTAATATACTCATAAGCAATACAATTTATCCCAATAAATATATTTTCTACTTAAGAGCAATGCTGAACTACTTTTAGAAGAAGGGTTACTAGCAGTTAGTAGCTAGATGACTTCTCAGTCAGTGTATCTGAAATTTAGTAGAAGACACCAGTGTTCTACATTTACTCAGGAAAGCAGAGAAGTAAAATAACTTCTCCCAATTTCTAGCTTCCACTCAGCCTTGCAATTTGAAATTAACCAATTAAATTTGACACTGAAAGAAAAAAAACTTAAATAAAGACAGTTCTGGAACCTGTAGGAGAAGCTACTGATACCAAAAGCTGGTTTATCACGTCAACAATGTATGTTTCCAGCTGCTTTACCAGTGACTCCTCTCAAGTCAAGATTAAACTTTTCTTAAATTTCAACAGTCACCATATGTAATTTGAATAAGATTTGCATTTTTTAAAATAATTTAAAAATGCGATGGCTTACTTCTAAAAAAAACTTAATACATATACAATTTGAAGCACTGATTACAAGATTATTGCCTACCGTGCTTCTTACAGTAGTGTTAAAAACATTTTTCAATTATATACTGGAAATCGGTTTCATTCTGCTATTGGTCAACAAATCTCTCTCTTTTAATAATTACCTTTTAATTTAGGAGATAAAATTATCTGCTGAGAAAATCATTCTAAGGTATCTCCTTGGTGAAAATCCGCAATGTTTCACAACATGGTAGGCTACTAAAGAATGCATCTTTTCAACAAAAAAAGAAGGGACCACCAACCACATACCTAGCTAATATCACGTTAATATCAACACAAAGTAAGAACAAAGGTGTCCTGGGAAGCAAGATGTCTTCTCCATCTTGCACCAGCACTGCTGTAGAGGGAGAGCATCGGCAAGGCATAGAAGTGGCAGAACCACATAAAAGACAAAGAGTCTCTGTTTTCTAGCATTTGGGAAAGCTGTAACGTAGACTGGTAAACAACTTGAAACCTACAGAAAGAAGAGCAGACAGGCAGGCAGTCCCGCAGGTGCAGTAACGTGAAGGGAAGCTCGTGGGCCTGCTGCAGAAGTAAGGGGATGGTGCTGTCTGTCACAGCATACTTAACAGTAGGTCAGAGTTAGGAAGAGGTAGACAGGATTCTTCAGCTTTCTATTTTTTTCCCTGTTTCCTTTCTGAACAAACACCACTGCTGAGGGAAAATAAGTCTATCTGCTAATTTTGAATGGTAAGATGCCCTTTTTCCTGTGTTTGGGCTATGGTGTAATTCCTAAAGCAGGTAGGCACAGGTTTATAGGCACTGTGATGGACAAAATATGAAGAGATATTCTCTGTATCTATAAAAGAGATATTGAAAACTGAGGGAAAGATACCTTTTAATGAGTCTTTTCCATTTTACTAAGAATGTAATTGTACAGAAGATTGCAAGTGGCTAGCACACAGCAGGACTTCAGGAAGACAAACGGGCCGTGTACTTTCAATGGAGAGGCACCACTAACACAGGCATGTACACATGATGCTGTGCATTTTTGTAATGTGACTTTCCGCCATGAAGAATTCTTGTCATACCTGCACCTGGGCAGAGCAGAGAGCATTACTGTTTTCCTTCTAGCAAGCTAAGGCAGCTCTTGCTTTGCACAGTTTCCTGAATGAATGCATTAATTTGATTGACTCCTGATCAATGGTGTCTCTAAGTAAGATTAAATTACACATTCCTTCTGTCTGTGTGTTATAGGAGATTACTCTTAACAGAATCTCAAAGGAAGCAATTAGCTGACCACTGATGTAATGAATCCTAATTATTTTGTTTGTACAAACAATAAAGCCAGAATCATTTGTTTAGCAAGGAAGTGTAATTACTCTGAGCACTCAAGAAAATAAATCAAACAGAGCTACCTAGACCTGTAAATAATGAGCCTTTGACTTCCTATTTATGCTAAGAATGCTCATGGAATATTTTCAGGTAGCTGGGAGCCAACCTTTGAAAGTAACATTTATCATAGTTATTGAGCATTTGCTTGATTATGTCTTTGAGTGTGCTAGGTGCCCTGCAGAAATAGCCATCTACATTGCCCTGTCACTGGCACCTGCTAAAAATTCACTGCAGCCAGTGCAATTTCCTGCAACTGTTTTTTGTTAATCAACAAGAAGTTGCTCACATCACAATCATTAGCCCATACTGTTCCTAAGGGCATCAATGGCTAGGGGGCATGCCCTCAGCAAAGGATGAATGATCAGGAAAAAAAATGAACATTCATATACATGGAGCAGGCTCTATTCTGCCCAACATTTGGTGATGCAAGCTAGAAACAGAATAAACCCAGAAGGTAATGGAATGAGACTGTTTGCAGCTGGGTCTTCTCCAGGTTGATCTGCTGCTGCTGCAAAATATTCACAGCTCAAACAGGAGAGACAAGCAGAGTCACTGGGGACCTTGTGTTGCAGAAAGCAGACATCAGTCCAAAAATAACTGAAATTCTCTCACCTCTGCTGATTTTGTGTGACCCAAAATCATGAGGGAGTTGACAAATCAGATAACCTGATCCCACTGCATGCAGACTCACTGGATGTTGCAAGTACAGTGATGCAGCCCCCAACTATGTGTACTTTCTGCAGATATTAACTCCTGAGATCTGCCATTCTCTCAGAGTAGTTCGCTTCCTTCATCAGGGTTTTGAAAGGATATTCATATCATACAAAAATATTTTCCCAAATCCTTCTGGAATGTCTAGCCACACTTTGTGTCCAATCTGAATTTAAAAGAAACTGCAAAGCTACTAATTCTGCAGTTGGTTTGCTTTTCCTCTTCTCTCAGCCTCAACAGCAATGTAGCCAAAAAGGGTTCAACGTCATTTTCTGGTTCTCTTAAGTGGTGTTCAACAATCTTACGGCACCACAGGCTCATATCCTGATAAAAGCCTTAGCCTGAATGGAAAAAAGACATCTCTGCTTACAACACTTGGATTCTCATTGTAGTGACACTGTTTAAATAGGGAATGAATGCTCTGAAGTCAGCAAAATCACACTGAAGTGAGCAGGGTGTAAATTACTGCAACATTTGTCCAAGCTGAAGGGAAACTGCAAATCACTTGGTGCAATGGGAGCCATTTCCTTCATGCTTATGAGGTATTTCAGTTCTTTATTCCTTCCCGAGCTGTTTCTCTTTGTGTTCAGTAGCTATTAAAAACTCATAGAATGCTTTATATTGTGGTCTTCCTGCAGGCCAAATTGAAAAACGTTTGCTGCTTGACATTATGTTATTCCAATATCCTTGAAAATTAACTGAAGACTTTAGTTTCCTTGGGAGAAGTTAAGGAGGAATAAATACCACCTACCCTGAGACAGATGAATTAAAAATTTATATTTAATTGTGCATTGGAAATGTGCTTATGCTTAGACTTTTTGTTTTGTTTTCCCCTACAATCTACCCAAAAGCAGAGAAATCCTCTGGAATATCCCTCTAGGCCTCTTCTAGGGAAAAGCAGCACTACTAAGTGTTTGGCTGCCTCTACAACAAGTATTAAAATGTCATATTGTTTTTCCAGCCTGAAAAACTCTGGTGACTTTACTGGATGACCAACTGTACCAAATGCTGAGCCAGACAGGCAAGAACAGAAACTCTCTGGGGGTTTTCAGGAAGGGTGAACTGCGGCCAAAACTATTCAGGGAATGTGTGAAAACTACCTTAAATTGGTCAGTATTCCACTGGGGAAGTATATCGGAGATGCTACTCAAATGTGGAGTACCAGAGGAATATGTCATTGGAATGAAAAATTGATTTCTGGCCATACTAGAAGCGCACGGTACTGCACCCTTGAAACATTGGTCTCTTCTAAAGAGATGTTGCAACTGGAAAAATCAAGGGTTCGATTTAGCTTAAGATGATTATGCGATTATGTTCCTGCAACGTTATTCATCCAATCTACTTTGTGTTGGGCAAATAAAGCCTTATTCTATTCCTTCTGAAAACAAGCCAAAAGTGAGATCACAGTACAAAGTAGAAGCTAACAGTGTCTGTAAACAAAGAAAATTGTGACAAAAAGAAAAGACTCAGTTCAACACTGATCAGGTCAACAGAAAAACTCGCTGACTTTATGAAAATGGGATCAGAAATGCCGTTTGGGTTTAAAAAGAAACTGGCAGCATTTTGTTTTCTTTAAGCTTCTCCTTATCGTCTCCTGTACTGCTTCTGTTTCTTATGTCATCACTTCCAAAAGAAAATCCTTCATAGGAGGAATTCTGCTGCTTAGAATAAGGAGTAGTCTAATAACATGAGAAAAAAATCTTGACTTTCTCTGTTGTTCTGCATTAGGAAGGAGGTGGGCTGAATGACCCAGAGCGATTTTTTTCAGAAGTGCCTATAGAATTAGAAGTCCATTCTCAAAATTATTTTAGGGACTTGGCCCCTAAATCATTTAGAGAGATTTGGGCTCTTCCTTTGCCTCTTTTGAAAAATGAGTTAAGTTTATATAGCATGTAAATGTTAAAAACCAGTTCCCCTACTCTCCCAGGAGATGGATATTTAGCTTCTAGAGATACAGTAAGCATATCTCAAGAGTCAAAACTCTGTAATATTTTTCCCTTTTAAAATTTGGAGAAAATAAACTTCTTTAAGAGAGTTTTTTAGTAAGCAATTAATCTCAATAATCTTTAGAAAACTTTAATTATAAATATCTGAAAAATGTCTGATTAAACATTTTTTAGCTTAATGCTAGGAAACCGTCATACCTTTCTGAATGTGTCTGGTTCTTCTGAAGATCCAGGGCTCTGTTTGAAAGAAAAAAGAAAAAAGCAGCATGAACTTAAAATCCCAGTGGAGACTGGAGCTTATAAATGAGTACTCACTTCACAGGGGATGTTTCTTTCAAATTCATGGTCACCTGGATAGAGTGAACCAGCAGATTTTTTTTTTTTAAATGTGCTTTTAAACATACTTTAGGCAGAAAGCTGGTATGCTTTCGGGTTCTTGACCTTTTGAATCAGATGAGCAGTTCTTCCAGCAATAGCTTTGACTTTACTGACACCTATTGACTGTATTCATGCTTGCTTACACAAGGTTTTGGTCAACAAAGCATAACTCAGTGGCAAACAGTTCTTAGAAATATCCTCTTTATTAACAGAGGTCATGCTTACCTTCCATGCACTCTACAGTATTCTAAGTAAGCTTGGATTTGAAGACAAGGTTTCCCAAAGGAGAAAGTTTTCAGGTACCTCAAATTTTAGGTGTTTGAGTTCAGATACCTTCCAAAGCACTTGCATACATAAAGTACCAGATGCACACCTGCAGTTTAATCCTCCAATTAAGGTATCTTGGAAGTTGAACCCATAATGTAAGTAGTTAAACTAGAAAAATCTTAATTATGTATGTTTACACTAAGAACATGGGAGTATCTTTAGCATGCCCTGGAATATCTTATATATGGGGACGAATTCTGCCATCCTTTATCTAAAAACTCGGTAACTTCTTTAATCATTTGGTTCTTGCATTAAAATATCTCCTCTTATTCCATTCAAAATCCTTAGCACATAAAGACAATTTCAAAAAGGACTAGGTCTTTCTGTGCACAGTTACTTTCTGAATTAGGTCAGTCAGTGGCTATTCTAATCACCCTGTCTCACAGCAGGAGACACAAATAATGAACAGTAAACATATTCTCACTGCAGGAACTATTAAAAAAATAATACAATGAAGAAAGTTTTGTGGAGAAAGCAAAAAAAACCCTAGAAATCCACGCACCCAGAACTGGGTGTAAATCCAAAATATTCACACACACAAACATGTCAAAGTTCCCAACTGCATGCACTTCTGACAACAGCAAACTGTCATTCTGTTTTGAATCATTTTAAAGAAATATTCTGAGAATTGCTTACAAAAGGAAAAAGATAGCATACAATTTATTTTAATGCAAGAATATTTGTGCTTGTATTTATAACTACATCGAATCATAGAATGGTTTGGGTTGGAAGGGACCTTAAAGACGATCCAGTTCCACCCCCCTGCCATGGGCAGGGACACCTTCCACTAGACCAGGTTGCCCAAAGCCCCGTCCAGCCTGGCCTGGAACACTGCCAGGGAGGGGGCAGCCACAGATTCTCTTGGCAACCTGTTCCATTGTCTCACCACCCTCACAGGAAAGAATTTCTTCTTTATATCTAATCTAAATCTACCCTCTTTCAGTTTAAAACATGGCTATGTTTATTCTGTCTTTGATGGCATTTACATTTCAGAGGTTTTAATTAAGCAGACACACATACACACGTACTGTTGAATTATGACTAGCAATGTGAAGCAGTCTAAAAGAGCAACAGCAGAGATCAACAACTGTGAATTGAGTGCTGTCACCTACCGGTGAACTCATGGATTCTTTCAGTTTAGATTTGTAGAGCATCCATCGGTACCGCAGGTCCTCCAAATCTTCAGAGTTTCCAATCACAGGATGAAGATGAAGAAGGTCCTCAAAGAGATGCTGACCATAAGGCACACGAGATTGCAGCTCCTGCAGGTAAAGACAAAGTCAGCAGCAATTCAAAATTCAGGAAGGCCCCACATTTTAAACCTAGCATTTGAAAGAACAGTGGTATTAAATCAAACTACTAGGTGCTCTGGAATAGCCTATTTGTTATCTCTTTTTTGGTCTAAAATGATATAAAAGGGTCCACTCATCCACAGGACTCCTGTAGCCTTGGATATTTCTGTTTGTTCAGTTTCTTAGAGCATCCATTGTCATTGCATCTGGCTATATTCAACAGAAAGAGAAAGAGTGAGGCCAAATACCAAACAGTGATTTTTATCAGCTTCTCTTAATGAACACCTTTGCCATACCACACTGGAAAAGTCCAGTCCAATAGCTAGATGCCAGGCTGCTCCCTTCCCTTCTATCACTCCAGCTCTGGCAAACCTTGCTTAGTAGAAAGGGTGAAATATTTGTCTTAATTTCCCGAGCTTCATCTACTCTAGAGTCTCCTAAAGCTGAGAGCATAGTGTTTGAGGTTGGGGTTTTTTTCAGTTTGTTTTGTGGGGTTTTTTGTTGGCTGGTTGGGGATGTGTGTTTTTAATTCTGAAAGAATCTGCACTTACTGCAAACTTTGTCTCCATCTTTATCCCCTGAAAACTAACCTCCAGTTTGCTCTGACGTGCCTTAATTTCCTCTGCGGAAGAAGTAGTTGCAGCAACAATTTTGGTCAGTTTGGTGTTTTCTTCTTGTAACCACTCTTCAAAGTTGTGTAGGAGCTTCAAGTGGCTGCTCGTATTTTGCCCTTCTATTCTTTCCTAGGTTACAGAACAACAGGGACAAAAAAGCCCTTACTGTGGTGTCAGTTGTTTCCTCTGAAGCCCTGATTGCAAGATATTAACCTCCAACCTTGTAACCCATAGTATCAGATGAAGCCAGTAAAATTGTTCTTGTGAAGCTAATGTGATGGCAGATACAGAGTCCCCCTCTCACCTGCTTATGGTTGGGCTCTACATCTAAAAGGTGGAAGGCAGGTCCAGACATCCATCTGTTGTCCACAAATGCTCTTCTCTTATCAGCCACTGGTCTATTTAACTGCCACTTTTTGAGAAGACTTGAAAACACAAAACCAAAGAGAGACATCAGTACAGTGAAATATCTAATCATGAGACATACACAATTTGACCAGGGACAACTATAGTGAAATAGCACTATTATTATTATTATTATTATTATTATTATTATTATTATTATTATTATTATTATTATTATCATCTTTACTATACTAATATTACTATTAATAGTACTGTTACTGTTAAAAGTTATTTCCAACATCTTTTTAACAAAGTAAGATCAAGACAGGAGTGTCTCAAAGCAGTACCAGTCCTATAGTTCTAACATTTCCAAGTATTTTGTCTTCTTTTATTCAGGGGCGTGAGTGATCAAAAGAAATCCCACTTGACAATATACCTTCTAGTCTGGTAACAGCAAGAAGTATAATCAATCCTTCCTCAATTTTGTAATTCAAGTTTTATGCCTATTCTGACACTATGTATGAATATACTCACACATGTAGCACAGTATTCAATTTTAATACAGACTAGGAAATATGAGCAGCAGTTTGACACTGCACAGTGAGGGCACATTGTCAGCTAAGTCCACATTGTCAGCTAAGAGAGGATTTCAGCTGTTTATACTCTTGTAGGCTTGCACAAGGCACAAAACACAGTGCAGATATAGCCTTCTTGGAGGTATCTCCAGATCAGACAGCAAAGAGAACAGGAAGGTGAAGCAGAACAGCAGAAGTCACCCAGTCTATGTCCTATTTCCTGATATGGACTGGCAGTAGAAGGGTGACCTAGGTCCTAAGGAGATATACTGTCTATTCTCCATGAGGTAAAGGCAGCTTCACAGGCTGCTCTGGTCCCTGGATTCTCTAAAATGGTTTTCTTAAAAGTAATGATTTCCAGCTTACAAATGACTGAATAAAATCTCATCTTGCTTTTAGCATTGTAACATAGCTCTTGACTTTCAGAGCACAGAGTATAAAGCATCGAGTGTATCTGGTCATATAGCAGCAAAGAGCATCCCCTTGAAGGGACATGAGGAAGATGTACATGAACACTTACCCAGCTGCCATCTCCTTCAGTGACATCCATGACTCCTTCAGCTGATCCAGCTCTGCCTGGACATGGGCAGTCTCCTCTGGGGAAGAATTCTCCATGAGCAGCTGGCCATGAGCTTCCACAAGGTACAGCTGGATCTCCTTATCTGGAAACTCAGCTAGCCATCTCTGAAACGTACAGCCCTTACAGTTACTTCTAGGTATCCTGGGTAAAGCAGAGGCTATGTCAGACTGAAGGCCATATTCAGTCCAGGACTATGCTGATTCTGTTGGCACTAGCTAGAAAATACCTAGCGGGGGAAAAAAAATATGCTGTGGATACCTGCAAAGAGATAGCAAAACTTAAAGGGTGCAAGCTGTCAATGCATCCCTCCTGCAGCCTTCCTGCGAGATATCTTGGTTTCCCGTATGAAGGCAAAAGCTGACAGCTGAAGTAACCTGCCAGAGTGAATATAGCATGCAAAATATTGCTACACAGGGAAAAGCTAGCAGCTGTGGAACAGCCCAGTTCAACATGGAATAGGGTTAGCTAACAAGGTAATAATGTTCAGTGTATCAATGAGGACATATACAGGCAAAGGTAGGTATTGTCCACAGAGATCACCCCAGCAGGAAGAACTCTTTCAAACCACCTATCCTTTGATAATAATTTATGCATCTCAACAGTCCTTAGCCATTTCTCAGTGTTCTTGTCTTTTACCTAGCTCCACATCCCACAGCACAGGGCAAAGCAAGGAGGGAGCAGCAACCAACTTATCACAGTAGGAACAAATCGTCAGTACTCTCCCCAATCAGGAAACCCTCGCTAGAAAATCCCTGCCCTTAATGCCTGAATGCTGCAAAGGGAGTAATCAATATCTTAGACTAAGATGATTTTCTCACCTCAAGATCTGCCACCCTGCCCTCGGTGTTCTGCTCTCCATCAGCACCCTGGTAGGAGTTAATCTTCTCTGTGGTTACTGTGATCCACTGCTGGAGGTCAGAGAGTTTGTCATTATATGTCCAATGCTTCTGAACGTGCTCTTCACTCTGCTGTATCATCATCTACAAATGATAAAAATATGTTAGCAACTAAACATAGACAAAGAGCAGTTTTATTACTGGATCTAACACTGTGACTACTGGCACAGAATCTCATGGGTAAAAAGGAAAAAAAACAACTGTTAATGAGACACAAAAATCTTTATTCTTTAGAATCAGCAGCATAGAAAACACGTACAAGCTCCTGCAGGCCTGAATTCAACCACATGGGGGGGCATTAAGCACTAGAATAGCTTCCTTCCTTTTCAGGTGAAACAGAATAAATAATATGGTGGGGTTTTTTACACCCCAGTCAATATTAAATACATCTTATACTCCCTGAATCAGAAATGACTGTACAGACCTTTTTGACAAGAGTCCAGTTCAGCAATAAATGGAATTATTGAGATTGAAACTAGAATTTCACAGTGCATATTAGGGTAACACTTAATCATACATATTTTTATGGTGACCTGCATAACTAAGGTAATTTTATAAGCTCTTCTTCTGAAACCGCTTTGGAAGGTCCTTTTATAGTTATGTTTACAAGCTACAAAATGCCTCAGGTCAAAATAAGTAATTATGCAATTGCAACCCTTTTCTGTCATTAACTTTTATGTCACAAAGCTATCAAAACCCAAGTAATTTGATACAAAAACACTACCCAGGAATTTGTGAAGAAGTCCAAGCACCTCCATGATAATATGAGGTCTTTTGGTCAAAAATCTTAGGCCCACTCCAGAAATAATTTATATAGATATAAAATCTGCATGGATGGGTATCCTATCCCAAAGGGAAATCACATTACAGATAATCAGAGAATCCTGGATGAGTTATCAAACTCATAAGAATTCATGCCTTCTTCCCCTGAAAGTATCTGTCACTCAAAGTATATAATATTGTGCGCTCAAAGATTTTTTTTAAATATTTTTAAATAGTGGGAACTGACAGCTCCTCAGGCAACTAAAAACTCTTCTTTATGTTACCTCCAATGATCTCTTCAGGGCCTGAGAGTCAGATGAAAGTTGATTCATTTCATGCCTTTGTGTGGTATTTGACTGAACAAGCTTCTCTACCTCTTCCATTTGAATCATAAGCTCTGACAAGTCATCTTGCATAATCTGCAGAGGAAAAGACAGATTCCATATGGGTAATGTGCTAGATATGGCAAGGACTTCCACAAAACATACACTAAAAGTAGTTAGTTTGACAGTGTGAGGGGAAAAAAAAAAAAAGGAACAAAACAATCACTGTCATTAAGAAAATTTTTTTTTGATGTCTAGAAGTAAATGTTTCTGAAATAAATGGTTGGACGTTCTTACGTGTTACCAGTTGATAACAAAGAAGACAAATTGCTGAGAAGCTGACAGAGGAGACTAACATAATTAGAGAGGTGCTGCAAAGCACTACAGCGATAACACCCCTGTGGTCACCAAGGGAAGTGGCACCATACACCTGAATCACCATAGCTCATCATGGCAAAAAGGAAGAGTCACACCCCCTCTCTTACCCTCCTGCCCTTCTCTCCTCTCTCCTGTCCCACTGCATGCCTTGACAAGGCTCTACTGCATGTTGGACCCTTTGCTGAACCAGCTCAAAACATTCCCTAGTAGAAAATTATCATCTTTCTATGTTGATTATTTTTTCTTATCTTGGCCTGCTGAATTAACCTGGAGGTTAAATCCAGCATGTGTCAAAGCTGTGACATGGGAAAGAGCAGGAAGGGGGGGGGGAATGCAGAAGGAGGTGGGACAATAGGAACTCCTTGCTTTTCAAGGGAGTTAGATTGGTTCAGGTTATCTTGTGCAGTTTCACTCCTAGTGGGAAGTATCAGGATACATTTTCTTTAGCAATAAAACTAGCCCAAGAATGTGTGGCACCGACAGCTTCCAGCTGCTTGTTCTTCCCTCAAGACCAGTTTGACAGTTCTTCAGCTGCATTGCTTCAATTTCATCTACTCCATGCTATAACTCAATCAAATTAAATTATCTAACACAATCAAGGGGTCAAAGTACTGAGTACCTAATGCTAAAAAAAAATGAACGAACAGGATCACAATTAATTGAGGCTATCATGGTCAAACTAATATTACTGTAAGGTACCTGGAGTCTCTGGAGTTGTGTCTTTTTACCCAAGAGGTCAGGTCGTGGTTCCTTCTCTAGATCTAATTTGGCTTTGATGGCAGATAATTTCTTCTGCAAAGGTGCAAAACCAGCATCAAAGTCCTTATGTTGCGATATCAAATTCTAGATGGAGAAAGAAGAAAAAAGATCCAGCATTCCATATATATCCCTTGGCATTATCTTTTCTCAATGTCCAGTTCACAGTCAGAACAAACACCAAGCTAAATTATGCAACAAACCACAAATTTATTTTCATATTTGATCAACCCAGAAAAAGGGATTGGGCATAGCTCGTTAGTATTAAATTTATATCTATAAAGCTGGCTTAGTAAAAGATTGATCATTGTCAGATATATGGGCTTTGAAGCTCACCTGGACTTTGCTCTTGCTTTGCAGCAGAGTTCGGTGTAGAATTTCTCTCTCCTTTGAAGCTTGAGCTACTTCCTGAAGGAAAGACTTCGCTCTTTCCTCACCAAGGACATTGTTTAGCAAATCTTTCTTCAGCTGTAATGTTACCAACTTCTCTTTGAACTGGGAGCTTTCAGTTAGAGCAGCCTAAAGGAGAAAAATTCTTCCAGTGAAATCAATTAAAAAAAATAATCATATAACCATAATATTTTCACACAAATCACACAACCAAAGCAGTATGACAAAGTCAGATCAAAACAGCATGCTGGGCTGACAAAGGGGTAACAGAAGGTACCTGGACAGCGCCCAGTTAAAGGAAAAGTCTTCCTGATAATGTTAGAAGCACCAGGGCTGCATCCATTTTGTGAACAGAAATAGAGGAAAGCTGTACTATGGAAAGAGTTGTCTGTGCAGAGGAGAGGCCTAAACAACCAACAGAAAGGACAGCTTGAATGCTCATCCCAAGGATAAACTCCATCCTTGCTCACAGACACATTTATTCTGGAGACTACAGGAATGACAAAGTAACAAACACACCTTGCTGGGCACGTGCAGAAACCACGCATTAAAATCCCACAACTATATTACTACACACTTCTTAATGAAGTCTACAGACTTCCTGATCAGGGAGATATGGGCTAATGCTAAACAATATTACCATCATTGCTAAAGGTATCTAGCACTTCAGTCTATTCAGTTTATAACTCCAGTGAACCAAATGGAAGGCAGAAAGTAAGGCATTCTGCTGCAGCTACAGCTAAGTATTAACCTCCACACTGTGGGGTTTCCTGCCATACTGGAAAGGCCCTTCCAGCTGCTGCTGTGTGGCAGCTGTATGCAGGCAGCTGCTGGTATCACTTAGGCAAACACAAACCAAGTATCAGTGTCTGAACATAGTAACAGGTTTGCTACCTCAATGTGAGCCAGCTCTGGCTCTGGAGTCTCCAGGAGCATCTGGACTGATGGCTTCCACTGTTCGAAATCTTGCAGGGGATTTTGGAAGAGTCTTCTCAGTTGGGTTTCTGTATCAGTGCTCATTTTAGATGTCTTGCCTCTAACACTGCAAGGGTAAAGTGACAGCCGAGAGAAGGATTACGAAGAAATTCAAGTCCAAACATCCTATTCAAGGCATGAATTAATACAATATTTGTGTGTAAACTCTATCCAACACAAAAGCCTCAGTCTTTTTTACTGTCTGAGCTTGGTGTTGCATGCTGACAGCTGCTCTGTCAGTCAGACATCTGACAAAACTTTATTTAGATGCTGTAAAACACATTTGTCTCTTGTGCAACTGTGTATCAGGAATTACTGTGCCTTCCTAGAAGCCAGCAGTCTCTCTTTGTATGTGATCTTGGCTGCTATCACCAGCATGATTTAACAAATCGTATTATTGGAGCAGTCTCACTGACTGATGGGAGGAACAAGCCAAGAGTGTCTAGAATTTAACTGCAGTTGCCTATATTGTTTTACAAATTACTGAGTCTTTGTTCCTTTAAAAAATTGAGAAATCTTTGATCACAAAAATTACATTAAGAAATCTTTGATCACCCTATGTTACCTACAAAAGGAGAAAAACTTATTTTTTCAGATACACATTTTAAAATTTTGTAGAACCACTTTTATTTATATTAATATATAGAAGTGATTCTGATAAAAGCTTTGTATTTTTAGATACATGTATACACATGCATGCACAGCTATATACGCATGTGAGTGTATACACTGGAAAAAAAATAAAATCAGCACACATTCATTAAATCTCCAGGCTTCTCTTACAAAGGCTTATCCAAAATACAGCTGAATAACAAGGCCTAGCAGACACACCCCATGCAGCTGCCTCCTGTTTTTCTCAGTTTTCCTGACCTCCCAGTTTGCAGAATCCTATTTGATATGGCAGAATGCAGCCCAAAATGCATGTTCATATGGGAACAGTATCCTGCAAATTCACAATACAGGCAGGCAAGAGCAATGCCAACCAAGATTAATACTGCCTTTCTATAAAAACAGAAACAATAATCTTACCTGTGTCACTGGGACCTTACAGAGCTAGGCAAAGGCAAGCTTGCAGGGGCCAAAAGCTCCGCAAATAGAGAGTTCTGATATTACACGTCCTTTGCCATTTGCTCTGCTGCCCCTGCCAGGCTCAGCGTGAGGCTGCCAGACTTCGCAAAGCAGCTTTGGAGAGAAGATGGCAAAGGGCAGCTGCCATTTTCTACTCAGAGGCAAGTCCCCTGCCTTCTCTGCTTCTCTTTCGACATTGTTTACTTGTTATTTTTTAAACTGAAATCCTTTCCCTTAGTGACCTATATCCCTTCCAGCAGCACACCATACTGTGCACTGGATAGAGGAAAATAAGCTTGGATATAGTAAATAAACTGACCTTTCTTTTTCCTTAAAAAAAAAGATCCTTTCTTCTAGTTTGCAAAATTTGCTGCAGCTTCTTTACTTCCTGATTCCAGGCAGCCTGGAAACGGAAACACTGAAGTCTGGGGAGAGGCTCAACTTTCAGAGTTTCCAACCCAAGGCAAGTTGAAAACAGGAATTATGCATATACGCCGCCAGGAGAAGGGGAATAAACTCTGCCAAATAATTGCTAAGGCTGATGAGTCACCACAACAAACTCAACAAGGGAGGGCCGTAATTCTTCTGAACCGTTTACTACTACAGCTCCTGTCCTGATTTTCTAGTTGCTGTCATGAAAGGCAGGCAAAATACGTAAGTTATTATTATAAAATGTTAAGAAGATCAAATTAGCTGCCAATAATCTCATTTTCTTCAAACCACACACAACACTAATGATGCAAGATCATTGCTTGAAAATGGCCAGCAGCCTACAGCTCCTAGCAAATGTCTAAAATTACAGGTTTACAGGCATACCACTTTTTTTTTTTAAGGCCCTGTTAATCCCTTCAATGTCTGAAAGTAGATTCCCCACCCCACGCCCGGCATAATCAGACTTCCCACTACCTTTGATACTGTTGTATTGCAGAGACAACACTCTCAGCGTGTGGCTGCACATCTTGAGAAAACCGTAGCAGTTCCTTAAGCTGAGCCTTCAGCCTCTCAACCTTGGACTCTTCTGCAGCCAGAGATGCTCTCATTGCCTTAATCATAAAAGTAAGGAACAGATCACACCTTAGGTTGTGTCTGGCACATGAAATGAAGAAGTAAGGCTGTCTCTCAGGGTATTCACAAGTCCCCTTTCTGCTGCCTTTTTTCCTGCTTGTAAGGGATATGGACTTTGCTAAGGCAGAAAACATTCTCAGAAACAGTTTTGTTCCTGCAGGCTCTCTCCTCTCTTCACACTGCTTAGCCACTGCATCTGATCTGCAGGGTTCTCTGAACAAAGTGAATCACAAACAGGCCCAGTTTCAGTTCACTGACTGCAGTATATAACATGAGATGCATTTTTGGAGCAGTCTTAACTGTGTCTGCATGAACAGATCTTTCTCAAAGACTCATATAAGCAGAATGTTAATTCTAGGGTGACGTGGGCAAACAAAAACAAGAGAAAAAACATGAAAATGTAGCTGGATTGAACCAGTCTGTATTTTGTGGATCCTTTTTGCATATACTTTTCCCAGCTAGCTGCTGAGTCCTAGACATACAAATAGCAATGAAAGGCATTTTAAGAAGAAATAATAAATGCAAAACCAGCCCTCAAGAGGAAGTGAGTGGTAAAGATTCTTATCTCCCTTATGTGTGACAAACTTTTTGCACTCATTTTTGCAACAGATTGATTTTGGTGTAAATACTAGATTGCTACAGACTTGAGACTTCTTAGGAATGAAAATGTCTCTGCTGGTAAAGTACTACAGGTACCCACATTACACAGATGAAGGCTATAATATAGAAATGGCCTTACCAGATACCCCAGAAATATGTATATTTGTGTGTGCATGTGTATGTATGTATGTATGTATGTATTTATATATACAGTGAGGCATTATTTTTCTGCTTCTTTTTAAGCAGAGCAAACTGGTGTTTGCTCTGTATCGTGCTCTTTTTGCATATGGTCTTTCTGAACTCAAGACACAAACTCCAACACATCCTCCAACCCTACTCCCTCTGTGCAAAGTGAGATAAAGGTTAGAACAGTTGATTCCATTGTTGCTATTCACACCTTCCTCAGTCTGCTTCATACACACTCATAGTTGTTCCTTGTCACCTTTAACCAATGGGACAGGCACCTGTTGGATATGACTATGGGTGTTCAATCTATGACTGCACTTGATCCTGCTGGTTTTAGGCATACAAAGGGTAACAACTTACATTGCATTTTCTCCACAGAGTTACAAAGTCATCTTCAGTCTTTTCACCTTCACCAGGGTCCAGGTCACTTTCTAGTCTCTGCAGATCTTTTTTCAACTCCTGTATGCCTGCTTCTAATTGTCTGGCCTGAGACTCATAGGCACTTTCTGACTGTTGGATCTTGAGCAATCTCTCCTCCTCCTCCTTACTCAGCAGTTTCAACTTCTCCAAGGCTTTTCTTAGCTTTTCGAGTTCATCCTTCATTCTCTCAGCTCCAAGTGGGGAGGTATTCTGAATCACCTCTGCACTCTGATTTTCAAGGTGCTTCCATTTCTTTCCACCACTCCTAATGTTTTTGGCAATTTCCTGCAGAAAGGAGTTAAACAAAGATGGGCAGAAGGAATGGGAAGTTGGGGAAAAAGCTGAAAGCATTAGGAAAAAGAACACCTCTCCTGGTTATACATATTTTGTTCTTCACTTCTTATTTGAAAGTATGTCTTTTTTCAAATTATCAGAAGCCAGGGCTGGTAATTTAACTGCCTTCTGAGTAATACTAACTGCTATGATTCTGAAAATATTGGCTTGATTTTCATAAATGCTTGTCACCTGTGGTCTCTGCCAAAGAAAACAGAAGCTGCAAGCACTAAGAAATACTAATGGTCAGATCTCTGAGAGACTTAAAGCTAAACAGTTTACGCAGTGGCACCAAAATACTGGGTACTGTTCTCAAAAAATGGTATTTTTATCAGCAGCTCTAAACTCTCAAACTCTGTGAGCTTTCAGGCTCTAGCTGGATCATGTTTCATTTAAACAAGTTTAAAGGGCAAGATTCTCAAAGAATCACATAACCCTAGGGGATCAGGCTTTAAGAAAAACAAAACAGACCAGCCTGTGACTCATGCCACAGTTGGGAGAACCATATGTACTAACAGCTTTAGGACCTGATACAACTCTTCTCCCCTAGCCCGTGTTACAATCACCACCTTACTTTGCCTAATTCTTTTCTCAAGTACACCCTTGTGTGGTTTGAGAATCATATACAGGCATGAAGAACACACAACCCTAACTCCTTATTAGAACTGTATTGTTTGAGGACCTTCAATGCCTTTAACTTGTCCTCTGTGGAAGACTTGGTTGCTTCTCCAATGCAGCAGTTTAATCTTTCTGTCACACCATTCAGCCACGATTGAAACTGGTTGACGTTAGCGTTGTACTGCTCGTGTTCCTTGGTTATCTTTTCAAGCAGTTCCACTCTGCTCTGTAACAAGAGACATCAGAAGCAGTTGAGGACAGTGCTTATCTGGCTCTTTTTCCTTTACACTGTAACCCAGAATTTATAAACAAGAGTCCCGGTTCACGAGCCCCAATAGCACTTGGCCTCCACAGGAATTCACAGTTCACCTCAAGAAACAGAACACAAACGTACATAAAGGCTTGTGCCCATCTGGGCCATGATGCAGGTCTCTGAGGAAAAAAACTGCAAGGTCCTCTCAGGTGAATTTCTAGCCTCTCATTTCCAAAACTTCCTATTCTCTCATTAGAAAGAGACAGAAGTCTGTTTCTGCTTTTTACTGTGGGACACAAGCAGTTATGTTCCCTATGCTGGTTAAAACAAAGATAAGCACACAGCAGATTGACTTTGCCTATCTGAAAATGAAAATAAGAGGGACTGTGCCATGGGCATGCAAATTGTTTGAGAGCGTTCATTATTTAAGCAGGCTGTACAGAAAGGGACCATCACCTTCAATTGTGTAGCCCGGGAACTTTCACTTATTTAACTATCAGATCACAAACTGTCCTGTGGTGCTATCACAGACCCTGGAATCAAATTTAAGCTTATGGGGAGCAGGCTTCATTTTCTGAGTTACTGTGTGTGCACCCTGTAACCAACAATCCCTGAACAGAGGCCTGCACATCATGAGTTGCTCTCCACTGATCCAGTCTGACACTCCTCACAAGGCAGAATCACATTTGCTCAGACTACCTTTTTTTGTCAGCTGAAGTTTAGGCTTTGCTGAAGGAAATTTTACACAAATCACGAGGAATCCTGCTCTGTTGCTTCACTAGTATAATATCACAATATCATAATATCCAACCTAAGTATTATTTCCTAAAAATCAGACTGATTTTTTCTTGTCCTTCACCAGCTGGAATGGAGAGCAATTGAGATACACTGGTTATGTTAGAAAAAGTTTGTTCCCTCTGCAATCCATTTAGTGCTTGCAGCACCCTTGAAAGACTTTGCTGTCATAGACATCAGGCTGAGTTTCATTTTGCGTAACATGGGACACATCCTGAGCAGAGCTTCATCCCAGCTGCCCTCCACAGAGAGCAGGGTGATGGCTGCAATGCTGAGCAGAGTTTCAAAGACCCCTTTGCATTTCCCTTGTCTCTGAGAGGCTCTGGGCATGTCCCCACACACATCCACCTGCCTGAGGTGGCAGTGGGTGATCATGGTCCCGTCAGCCTTTCCCCAGCCAGACCAGCAGAAGGGTGCCATAAGCATCAGTCACCATGGGATCTCCCATGGTGGTCCCTCTGGGACTCTACCGTTCACCTTTGTGATAGGTTATGCCCAAGATGCAGTATAAAGCCACCACTCTTCAGCTGGCACCACATCAGTCTGTTTTCCACACTGCCACTGCAATCTCTGCTGACTTGTGCAAATCAAGAGTGACTCCCCTGAAGTTAGTTGTCTTCCTTTGGGACAAAAGAGTGACAGCTAAGGGCCAGCTACTTCCCATGGAGGAAGAAATGCTATCCACTTATTAGGGCAGGACCTTTAATAGCACCACCTATGCAAACATGGGTTTGGATGAGACGAAAAAGCAGAATTATGACTGCAGACTTCTGTGGCCAAGATGTATCCAGCAGAACACCGCACTTGTTTGCTAAACCTATTTGTCTTGATTCTCAAATCTGAAAAGGTGCGTACAGGATAAATGATTCTCACCTTCACCTGAAGTTAGGGACTTGAAGAATGCAATTTTAAGAGTAGTGTAAATGGGCCAAACATCAAAGTGAAATAAGTCAGCCCAAGCTGATTCATTCCAGGGAATTAGGATAATTTTTTGTGCTGACAGAAGCTCCAAAGGCAGCAAGTCAGAGTAATAAAGCAGAGCTATTACTAAACTCAGAAGTCTTAACACTAATACATAGAGGGTTAAAAACGAAGTCAAAATGACCCACCCCTGGACAGGCTATTCAGTCAAAACAAAGGAGTGCACAGTTTGGATACTCCTGCTGGTCCATGAGGTCAAGAAGGAGATGCCATGGATCTGGATAGACTGTGCTAGCTGCCAAAGAAAAGACACAAAGAGCTGGCTGAGCCCCCCCTGCCCCAGGAGGTTAGGCAGGGAAACTTTCTAATGATGGAAAATATGGTATCACTTTCTTCTAATAGGTTAGCTGTTCAGGGAGCAGGACCCTGTAAACTCCATCTCCAGATGCACTTGGATAACATGAGAAGACATTAAGCAAGGACATAGCCCTGGAAAGAGTGAGAGCACTGACAGGAAAAGAATGGGTTTGCTATGGACTGCAGTGGAAGAGATGTGTCTGGGCAAGATATGCCCAGCCCTGAGTACTCGAGGAGGGTGGACAGAGGCATAGGAAACTAATGCCTCTCCCCTCAGCAGCCCTTACAGACAGCAAAGGCAAACAAGCCTCCTCTGGAAGGCAATCTACAGCACATAAAGGAAGTTCCTGCTTTAAATCCCTCTGTGGCATCTCAGGTAGAGTACAGAAAGCTCCTGTTTCCCTTGCTGGTGCTTTTAGTCTTAGCTCCAGGGTATATGAGGGTTGGCATAATAAACATCTAGGTTTCAGTAAACAGAGACAACATGGACTGAAATGCATTTGATGTGCTCAGACATATTTGATATATTTGTCTAAATATCAAGACATATTTGATATACTTGTCTAAATATCAACATACCGTATATTGTAACTTTTCTTACCATCTTCAGTTACCACTTATGATAAAACCCACAGCCATCTACCTCTGCATATTGCTATTTTACTAGACAAGGGAAAGCATGTAGGAAATGGCTGCCAGATCTATAAATATTCCTGTCAATGTAATAAAAGAAAATTATGAGCTTTTAAAATTTGAAAGTTATATGGATACATGTTAGCACGAAGAATGAAAAAAACCTCCATTTGCTCATACCAGAGAAGCAATGCAAGCAAACCATTTAAGAAACACTGTCCAAGAGCCTGACTTTCTGATAGAGCTGGACAACTGCACGGGACCTAAAAATGCTCTTCAAACACAAGTGTAATCTACAAACACCAGTGAGCCTTCTTTGGGAGGCAGCTCAGGCATTCAGCTGGCATTTGCACATTTAGCCTGGCCTCTCATCATGTGAGGGGCCGGAGCAATCCCTTACAACTCCTGCGTCTCTTTCATGCATTCTTCCTGCCTGCTGGAAGAGGTGCCAGGGTTTCTCTAACTAGTGTTATAGTTTTCAACATGATTTCCAAGGTGCCTGTAACCTTGGCATTAGCTAATGAACTCTGCATTTACTTCAGTTGCAAAATCCAAGGCTTCCCAACTCCCTTCTTTGTTCCATGCCTCCCGACAGAGGGATTTCTTAGCTGGAATCTCACTTCATCCTTCTATGAAATGCGGTGCTTGTAACCAATGCCAAAGAAAAGCTTTTTCTAGCATCTCAGTTGGCTAGAGACATAAAGACATATTTTGTCTAACTACTATGAGTCACTTCCTGATCTCATTTACACCAGCATGTATCCAAGTCAGTTAGAGAAATTACACTATGTAAAACCAGTCTCAGAGAGGTCACATTCTGCCTTTGAGTATTCAAACAACTTGTTTGAAAGAACTGCCGTATTAAAATAATTACTGTCTCCTGCTTCAAAACCAAAGACAAATCTTAGTTAGAAGAGAGTGAATGAGAATTTTAAATGGCAATCTAGATAAACAACAGCTGAATTCCCAGGGACCTTCTTATTCATAAATCCAGTTGCCTTGTAATGAAGAGATTGACCTTTAAAAATAAATAATCAACACTGAGACTCAAGTCTGTTAGTGGATCTACAGCCTCTCTGTGGCAGCTGCAGTTAGAGAATTTCCAAATATGCTCTGGTTTTTGGAGACATATATTACCACTAGTTTTATCTTTATGGCTAAAAAAATATGTGAATTTCATGCTCATGAAAGGTGCCAGCCTGGGGTTTTTTTCATTGTTTTGGGGTTCTGGATTTAGAGCAAGCAGAGCAATGGCATGAGCATCCCAATGTTGTTCTTCCAGTGTGTTCTGAAGTAAACTTTGTATGACAGCACCCAAGGAGGAAGAGCATACATCACTGTCAGGCTCCAGTTCTGGACTGGGGTGTAGGTGTGGGAACATATGGAAGGTAACGTTATGAGAGAGGCAGATAGCAGAACCAATGTAATGAAAATTATTTCTATCTGCACCAGGTAATTCCAGCCTATGGAACTCCTGGAAGTCACTGTGAGACAAAGACTAGATTTTAATCTCTATATGCTTGGGATAGATGTGTCTCTCTCTATATATATCAAATATCCCTTTGTGTATTTCTATTGATATAGGCTAGTAAGATAAACTAGAATGTCTTACATCAGCCTATCTAACAACTGTTCAAGCTGGAAGATTAGCATCAAGCAAGAATTATTATCTGTGTGCAGTGAAAATCTCTCAGATACTGGAATTGGCTAGTTGAGCTCAGTGTCAGGCCACAGCTGACTCACACCTCCATGTTTCCCAGTTCCGCAGGCAGAGAATGCAGCTCTGGATCTGGACTAACACTACTTCCTCCGACAAGGGTGTGTGCACATAATATTCCCTGGCTCCAGGAGTAGGTACTTTGCATTTGGTTATACAAGGATCACTAATGTGCTGAAAGATGAGGAACAATTCAAAGTTTATATAGAGATGACCTAAACCCATACTCACTATGTCACAGCAAGCACCTTGCAGTTACTTTACAACAACGTACTATAAAGCACAGTGTAAGAGCATCCCAGTTAGCAGTGGACTGTTGCAAACAGTCCACTGACAGAAAAAACAGGGGTCCTCAGCTCTGTTCCTTTTTTCGATCCTACCAGGTAAGCCCCATCACTCAAGAAGCAGATAGAAAATACTGTAGATTGGTGAACTCTGAACACCTCCCACTCTTTATAGGTGTACCTGAGCTTCTTCCCTGATTCCTTCATATTCCACCCTCATTTTCTTCTGAACATCCTCATCAACGCTGGGGTCACCTATCCTGCTGAACAAGGAAGCAGCTTCCTCTAGCAGCCTTTCCAGCAGGACTGACTGATTTAAGACATCATTCAGCAGAACCTGAGCATGGCTCAGCTGCCACTGCTTCTCCTTTAAGCCAAGCTGCAACTCAATGTCAGGCTCCAAGGTCACCCTCATGTTGTGAATCCATGCGTAAAACTCATCTTGGGCTTTCAGGTACTCACTCCAGTGCAGCCAGACCCACTCAATACGGCTGTTGGGGAGAGCAAGAGAGATGAGTTAGATGAAATTACAATGGGAGCAGTGGCGACTGGCAAGCTCAAAAGGCCTTCAAAGCAAAGGACAAGGTTCTCAGCAATTTTAAGCTGCTCTGACTTCAGAGGGCCTGGACTCACTTCCCAGGTCCTTCCTGCTCAGGGGAGGAAATATTCTGTACATGATCCTGGTGCCTGGTCAAACTCATCGATTTCAGACCATGAGGTGGGCTGGGCTGTGAAGGCAGAGATCACTGAGGTCCCACAGACCCTCTATCCCCACACAGTCCTCAACATGCTCATAGGAATGGGATTAGCACTGGTTGCTACCTACAATCCAGGCAGTAGACAGAGGCGGGAAGCACTTTATGAAAGCACTGAATTAGACAACTGCTTCAACACACCAAATAATAGCACTCTTGTGCAAAAAGAATGTTTGTCTTACCTGTGGCAGTGAGTAATGTATATAGCTGTCTCTTCCCACAAGGCTTTAATGTCTTTCAGTTTAGATAGTACCTCATGCTTCTTATCCTCACTGATGCTGCGAAGAGCAGCATCTGCCTTTACAAGAATCAAGTCCATTTTCAAGCTTCCTTCTGGCTCCAGTGCACGTATTTTCTATGAGAAAAACAAATGAGACTGAAAGCATGAAAAGAAAGTATAAACAATGAAATTTAGAAGGGTTTTTTTTTACCCAGGAATCATGAAGTCCCTGCTGCAAAGCTTCTCCTGAAAGGAAAATATGAACTTTTCTTCAGATTTGTTTATTCTTAAACATCCTAAAGGACTGAATTTAAATGAAAACTATATAGCAGTTGAAAACTTTTAAAGTTAGCTACAAAAACCAGATCACCTTCTATTAAATATCTGTAGCTGTGTTTCCACTGTTGTTATAAAGTTACAGCACTGTGTTACCACATGCCAGTTGTTTTTCCCCACCTGCCAAAGACCGTAGAGGCAATCTTCACAGGATACACTACAGTGTCTCAATTTTAAGATTTATGATAAGAAATCATGAAGCATATTAAAAAGTCTTCCCACTGCATATAAAAGTTGGCTCGGAAAACAACCCAGAAGAAATGAACTAGTGGAATTTTCTGCCTGCTACCAAATTTTGCTTTGACCCTAAATTGCTAGTTTATGAATTGGTGAAAACATGTATCTTATGTTATGGTTTAAAACCAAATCAGAATGGCAGGAATGGAAAGTTAAGCTGTCTAATTTTAAGTAGACTCTCTTCCTTTGCCCGGAAAATCAGCACAAGTTCTGTACAAGGTAACAGATTAATGGTGTCCCAATTTGGATATCAACTTTCAGCATCACTTTATCCAAACTTCTGATACCATCAGATCAGCTTTTCTTGCTGTTCTTCCACAAACTCCTGACAAACTTCAGGCTTTCAAGTTTGAAGGAAAAAGCTTCTATAATGAAAACAGGGAGAAGTTCAGAATCATCAACTACTTTTGGAAAGATTAGGCCTATGGGATTTGTTCAAAAAGATCTCATCAGTTATTGCAAAGGTGAGACCAAATCACAGGCCTTTGGATTTCTAGTTTCACAATTGGGAAAAGACTGTTCTTTTGGCATGTACACAGCACATCTGCATGTGATGTATAAACAGGTGTTTGTATGAACCATCTACTATGAAAAGTGTGATTAAAAGAATCCAGGAAAGCAGGGCAAAGGGCAGGGCAGAGAACTAAAATAAAAGCCATAGCTATGACCCAACATGAAAAATTTAAGAGTAAAGCTGCATTCTAAGCCTGACATTTTTCCAGCAAGTGAAAGCAGATAACAGATGGAGAGAAAGCAGTGGCTGTACAGGCATTTTTCTTTTTCAAATCTGTTTTTAAAATGATTGTGATCTTTGGCCGGCATTTTCATCAACAAATTAACAGAAAATAAACCACAGGAAGGAAGCATTTAAGAAAAGGCAAGCCAGATGCAAAAAAGGAAGTGAAAAATGATCACTGGATTTGAAAACAGCCAATAGGTGAAGCATCAAGCACATTATGAGAACATGTGAGCTGGACAGGGAAGCCAGGCCCAGAAAGGAGGCAGGATGAGGGAGCAGGAGGAGGATAAGGTACACATAGGAAGAGAGAACAGACACTCGTTATTCTTTAGAATGACAGATTTCCGAAGTCTGAATTGAAAAAATAGTCTAACATGATTTTTTGCCAGTTACAGATCTCCTCCAAATAGCACAGAAATCAACAGCCCTCAGTTCAGGCCATATTAAATCACCACAAACCTCTAAACGTTACATCTTGTTATCTCTGCCATGGATGCACCTCCTTTTCCAAACTACCACTCTCCCTATTCAAGTTCCTGTGTTTCTTGCATGTTTTTTGAGACTCTACATATCACAGTTTCCCAGATGAAAGGAAAAGTTGAAAATAATTTAAGGGCAGAAATAAATCTATAGACCAAGAGGAAATACTTCAGATTTTCATGACTGACATTCAAATCCACCCATCATCCATCACTCCATGAACAGTCTCTGTATCGTGCCAGAGGCAAAATCCAGCCTCCAATGAGCCACAGCTTCATGTAAGCCTGCAATGGTTTTTTTGAGTTGTTAAACTTCAGAAAAGGCACTCCAAACATGAGTAGACACATAAAGACTTTTGGGTAAATGATGGGAAAGATTTTGCCATTTAATTTAAAGAACAGACATTTAAGGTAATACAAGTATAAAAAATAGTTTCAATGTTAATCATAGAAATACTATCACACCCTCTAATCATGAATGGCAGAGATGGGACAAACAGGAGTGTTTCACTTTCAGAGATTAAAAGAACAAGATAAAATCTAATGAAACTGAAGTTAATGAATGTGAAATCACAGTAAGAGAGTAGGCACAATCTGCAACAACATCTCTGTGAGAAGAGTTATACAAGAGATTAAGTAAAACCAGAAAAAAATGAAAACATTTACCTTTACATTAGAGAGATTATAAAACAGAGCTATAAAGTAAACCCTCTTATCAGCAGGGTTTATGGAAAAGGACATGGGGATTACTCACAAACAGCCCATTACTAGGACACTGCAATCTTTCTCTATTAGTGCCAGAGTCCCGAAGGAGATGGAACACTAACATGATCTGATTCTCTCATACCATATGCTGGACTTCTGCAAATCACTACCTGGTAACTGGGTAATTGCAAGTAACGACTCAATAGTTTCAGGTTTGAGCATGCTCATAGGAGAGTGTAAAAATGTTAACCTGCCAAACCTGATGCTAGTCTTCCAAATCAATCTGAAAACCTTGGAAGTCTGTGATATCAGATTGCCATTCTCTTCTATGTCTGTAAACATTTTGCAGAGGGAAAAATTAGAAAGAATACTGATGTAAACCCATCCACACATGACCAGTCTTCTAGCAAGCAGTGGCAGCTGACAGTTTCCTAATGGAAAACTCCAGAGCTCACAGCAATAACTGCTGTAACAATGGCAGCAGTGGTGGCCACCTCTGAACTGCTAATTCACTCTTCCTTTACCTCAGTCTCTCTCAGTCTGGCTTCTAGGGCAGATCGAGGTCCCTTGGTGTTGTCATTGATCCTCAGTCTCTCTTGGATGGCCTTCATCCAAGCTTCTGCATTCTCCACGCTACTGTCAAATTCATCCTGTAGCTGCTGAGTCATTGCATTCAAAGAAGCTGAAAGGACAAAAACCAGGGAACTAAGTAGGTTTTGGTTAAGACCTAAACAGGAGTATATTCAAGGCAATCTAAAGGAGCAAAAGAAAAAAACCTAATGATGTCGTGGCTTTCCTTTTTAATGATAATACTGAAAAATATAGCAGTAACATGATTCAGCTGAGCACAGAGAACATACTCACACTGCAGCTTTCCCAAATGAAAATATATCAGGAAACAAAAAGAAGGTGGAGAACTGTGGGAGGCTCCATTACAGTAAACAGATTTAATTCAAAGCTTTCAAATGAGATTAATCTGGCGTTTGTGGTCTATTCCAGATTGGCTACACCAATCACGAATACTTCCTGTTTCTTCCTAGTGTCTAGTCACTACAAAACTCTTCCTATGCCCTTCCAGGCTCATGTATTGAGCACCTGACATCAGACTAGCAGAGCACTTCAGCACATGCTTAACTTAGAGGTATATAAGCCCTTTAAAGCTGATGAGGTCAGGATCAGATGCTTAGGCCCTTGGTTAATTTGCTCTGCCAAGACCATGGAGAGGTTATCTGAATGCACACGCAGTGAGTCTGGGATACGCACAGGAATGGGAACTGGCCAGCAACTTGCCAAGACAAACTACTCACAAGCCATCACATGGGAATATCAACACGGATGGATTTCTTCTTTTGCCACCTCTTTTATTCCATACCAGGCTTCAAGCTTTTAATTGTCCCTTCCCTCTCTCTTGTTGCCCCTTCCCAATCAGCGGGAGGGTATGATGGTTGATTGCTCTGTTGATGTGTTCTTGTATCTTCTCTGTGTAGAGCATAAGCTCTCTGCTGCCCACAGGGCCTCCTTTGTGCCTGTACAGTAGAGGAGAGCCATCCTACGCTTGCCCTTAGGCACTGCTGTACTAAACTTGACTAATAAGGATGAATCATAATAAAGCCCCCTGTAGGTCAGCTCTGCTGAAGTGAACAGAAAGATAGCCATTGACATTAAATGGGTTTGGATCACATCCTACAACTACTGCCAGCCAAGCAGTCAGTGTCTCTTGTAAATTAAAATATTCTTCCGCTTTGTTATTCATCACTGAAATGTTTTCGCAGTAAAGTTTGAGGCTTAATTACTGAACCCAGGTTTGTTGTGCAGAATTCAGTTCCACAGCAGCCCCCTCAGTTTCCACAAAACAATTCATGTGGAAGAAAGTGCCCAGTGCGAGAGGCTGAGCATGGCTCTTGGCAAAGCTGGACCAGTGGTGTTTGTAACCACTTCAACTCTCGGCAGCTTCATCTTTACAAGGGAAAGCCATTCTTCTGCCCACTAGCAGAAAGCTTCCCACCATCCTGGCAACGTTCTTGTTCATGAGGTAAAAGGATCTATGCAATACCAGAAGTCCTCCCCTTGTAGCTCCCAGTGCATTTTCTTCCACATTAAACCAGAGGAAACAAGATGTTAGTGTTCACAACACTGATGTCTGTCAACATTATTGCTTCCCAGACTTCAGCAGGCTTTATGCTCAACAGGTCCCAGAACAGAGGGACAGAACTGCACCTACAGACCAGCTACTGCACTACCCACAGGGATTACTGGAGCAGAGGATGGGTCAGATCTCCATGCACAGGCAAGCAGAGCTGCATTTGCATGGAGGAGGGGATTCATCTCTAAGTGAGAGATGTCAGACAGGGCAGAATCTAAAACCATAACTCTCAGAGCTAGAGGGCAGTTTTAAAAAGTGTGAACTCACCTTGAAAAGATTAAAGAATAGGACAGGATGTACTGGATTTAGTGAGGGTGGTGTGGCACAGGGAAGCTACTTCCTCTCACAAATATAAAATATGACAGGATATATAATTAAAGCTAAAATCATGGACTTATATCACAAGACTCCTAAGGATGAAGCCAGCTAAAGGAGTAATGTTATTCTCAGTGGATTGCTAAATATTTGGAGAAGGACAGAGCTATGACTGGTCCAGAACTGATGTTCCTGAATTGTAATAATCCAACCCTCGGAAAGGAGCACACATCTCTTTGTAGCTGACTGATCAACTCATTTTCACATTAACATTTCTTATATCTGGCTGCTGTAGAGAGACTGTCCCCTAAAATTTTCCTTGTTACATACATACATACATTTCTAGATAAACAGTTTCTGAATGCGCAAGTGTAAGCTGTGGCAATTCCAGTTCTGCTACTGTGAAACAAAAACTCACGGTACATTTGCTGGATAGACTAATGAGGAGTGGCATTAATTTCCTAGGAGAGGTTTCTATTCCTGGCAACATCCATATCATATTTAAAACTGGCTTCAGGACTCCAGTCATGGAGTAGCCAATAAAGAACATTACATTACCCTAGCCTTATTTCTCACAAAAAGTAGAGGGCAATCAAACAGGGTTAAGAAGCAGTGAAAAACCTACTGTCACCTAACATGAAGAAAACCCCACTCAGACTCAGCCCTCATGCTGCTCTCCTCTGAGCACAAGGATTTTATGTCCAAAACTCACAGATACACAGACCCCCATCCCACACACAGGCGTTCCATGTAAGTAGCCACCACAGGAAGCCAACAAAAATGTTATTTCAATATTAAGATCACCAGTTTGCAAAGGAAGAGAAAGACTTTGGTACACCAACTACCTTCATAACATTGTTGACTGATTTTGGTCAAGCAACTCCTACACCTAGCACAATAAAGATGATTAAATTTAGCACAGACTCTGACCCAATGCTCAGGCGGATTTCATGGTAGTTAGGACTTGCAATACCTTACGTGGATTTGGGCTGCCTCTTGAGACTGACTGCATCCCTTCCTCCCTCCTTCCTCCAATGCTGGGCAGCCAGACCCTGGCTGAAGTCATCGGCTACAGCGTACTGTTTTAGAACCCGCTCACCATTTCCAGGCACAGAAACATAGAAACACAGTGTGGTTTAGGTTGTAACAGACCTTAGTTCCAGCCCCCTGCCATGGGCAGGGACACCTTTCACTAGACTAGGTTGCTCAAAGCCCCGTGCAACCTGGTCTTGAACACTTCCAAGGAGGGGACATCCACAGCTTCTCTTGGCAAACTGTTCCAGTGCCTCACCACCTTCACAGTGAAGAACTTCTTACTTATATCTAATCTAAATCTACCTTCTTTTAGTTTAAAGCCATTACCCTTCATCCTATCACTACATAACCTTGTAAGAAGTCCCTCTCCAGCTTTCTTTAGGCCCCCTTTAAGTACTGGAAGGCCGCTACAAGGTCTCCCCAGAGTGTTCTCCAGGCTGAACAACCCCAACTCTCTCAGCCAGGCCTCATAAAGGAAGTGCTCCAGCCCCCTGATCATCTTCGTGGCCCTTGCTTGAGCAGTTCCCTGTCTTTCTTATGTTGAGAGCCCCAGAACTGGACACAGCACTGCAGGTGGGGTCTCACAAGAGCACAGTAGAGGGGGACAGTCACCTCCCTTGACCTCCTGGTCCCACTTCTCTTGATGCAGCCCAGGATACTCTTGGCTTTCTGGGCTGTGAGCATATGTTGCCAGGTCATGTTGAGCTTCTTGTCAACCCCCAAGTCCTTCTTCTTAGGGCTGCTCTCAGTCCCTTCTCTGCCCAGCTTTGATGTGTGCTTGGGATTGCTGTGACCCATGTGCAGGACCCTGCACTTGCTAAACTTCATGAGGTTTGCATTGGCCCTCCTCTCAAGCCCATCAAGGTCCCTCTGAATGGTGCCCCTTCCCTCCAGTGTATGAACCACACCATATACTTTGGTGGTGCTGACAAACTTGCTGAGGGTGCACTCAACCACACTGTCCATGTCACCCACAAAGACGTTAAACAGAGCCAGTCACAATACCAAACCCTGAGGAACACCACTTGACACTGTTCTCCACTTGGACAGAGATGTTTTATCTTCACAGTCATTTTCAAATGCATGTGGCTGTTCAGAATAGCTCTTCATTTTAATGCCACTTGAATCGGTGTATTAATTCATACTGTGGAGGGTGTATTTATACCGCAGAAAGCTTTTAGCATCTCTACACATATGTTACTAAATGAGGGTAATAACTATGCATAAGAAATTCTAGCATAAATAATGAGATGCTGAGCAAAACCAAGTTTTATTTGTCCAAATGCAATGACACAGTTAGTAGAGGTAAAGAAGTGTATTTCAACATGTTGAACAAAACTGACCCAGGACAGCTCCTGTCCAGAGGTTATAAAAAGCATGTTTCATGAACAGGAAAATGTAAAACATAGATTAATTCCAGAATCCTTTAGCCGAACCTATCCCACAACACTAGTCTTCCTAGCTTATCTGAATCACCCTCCATGGCCCTGAAAACACTGGTTGGCAATGTCTGGGTAGGCACATGCGTTTCAGTGCCACAGAGGGTCTGATGCCTCAGCCCTTGCCCAGTTGCTCTGCCAGACCCACTGCACACCTGCAGCACAAGCAGAGCTTGTACTGGGTCGCCGGTAGCTCAGTTACCATGCATGGAATAGCTGTACCTCTGGAAGAGAGAAAGATAAACTCCTGTGGCAACACACACCTGACTCAAGTCAGCACCACTCCTCTCCGCCTCTCTCATCCAGGCACAGAGCCATTCAGTGAGGAGAGAAGTCAGGGGACTGTAACCCACCACATGTTCCCAAGCTCCCTGAGGAGCAGGGAAATCTGGCAGGGTGCTAGGGTCACACCTGCTGTCCCCCAGCTTGCCCACAGGCTGAATACCACAACATGAATTAATGAGATCCAAAGCAATAGCAAGCTGGGTTTTGTTTATAAAACCTGCTCAGCTCCTGAGCTGTGCCCAGTTTGTTGTTGGGCTGGGCTGAAGAGAAGAGAAACAGAGGCAGTCTTGTATTGACGGTGGTCTTGGAGCTGTCTTGCTGAAAGAGCAGATAAATGAATTAGCTGAGTGCTCTGTGTTACACCTCTTGGAGCTACTACATCATGGCAGCACCACTGAGGGCCATGGAGATGTCTGGGTCTCCACAGCAGACCCTGACACAGTGAAAGGCACAGGTCATCCTCCA